CTGGTCGCGCAGGCGTCACCTGGGGCCGAAGTGAACCTCCCAGAGCGCCTCCACGCGCGGAACTTGTCCCAGCTCCAGGCCGTGTGGACGCGGCGCCACCGCTGAGGGGCTACCTCAGTGATCCGGGACTGTCGGCTAACCTGTCTGTCCCCACTGTGGCCGCCGGTCTGGCTGCTGCCGAGGCCCGGCTCAGCGGGGCACTCCGGCGGAGGTGAGCCCACAAGCCACTGCCTCAGCTCGGCCGCCGTCTGCGGCGTCGGCGCCTTTCGGTCCCGCGCGGGCCCGTGAGGTCCCGCCCCTCCCCGGGCAGGACCAATAGGGGCAAGGGGGCGGAGCGAATCTTTCGGAACCGGCGCTCGTGGATTCCCCAGGCCCGCCCCGCGAGTGAATGAGGGGCGGGTAGGGTAAGGGGTCCGCCGCCCAGGTGCCTGGGGCGTCAGGGCGTCTTCACCGAGCTGCTGGTCGTGCGCCGCGCGGCGACCTCCGCTCCGGGAGCCCAGCGTCGCTACGCCTTCGGGAGAAAGCACAGCTGGCGCTGCCGCGGGAGGGTGGCCTTCAGTGCCCTCCTCCGGCCCGGGATTCCGAGTTTCGGCGGGGCCATCGGGCGACCTGGCGGTCCCGCCTTGTTCACAAGCTGTTGCCTCAGGTCCCTAACAGTGGCCTCAGTCGGGTCTGGAGGGGCGCCTTCCTCCGCCAGCAGCAGCCAGCGCAGACTCCCCGCCACCGCAGCGCCTACCCCGCGGCTCCCTGGCGTGCGCTGTCTCGGGCTTCTCCCTCCGACTCCTTTCAGTCAGCGCCTCCCGGCGCGCCCACCCCCTGGCTCCCGCGAGCTTCGGGCAGCCCCCCGACGCCTTCACTGCAATCCCTCGCCGTGCGCCCAGCGGAACCCGGCGCTGGCCCAGCGCGCGCTGGCGACGCGCACCTGCTTCCCGCCTGCTACCGAACCGAGGAGCTCTGTGCACAATTGCCTTGGCGCCCAGCGGCTGTCAAGGACGGTTCCTCAAGGAAACTCCAGATGACTCAGCCCCCTTCTGCAGACCCTGCTCTTCTCTGAGCGCTCTCCCACTTCCTTTACAGGTAGTCCCCCACTTAACAACGTAGTCGTGTTACCGCGAACCGCACTTAGACGACCATTTGTTTTGGGTACGTCTTATCGTTAGTAATATGTATGTATTAAAATTTAGCTGTAAGATCCTATTTTGGTGAGTGGCCTCTGGGGTCTTAAAAGCTTGCAAGCGGCCATCTAAGATGCAACCACCTGGAGTAAAGGAGAATGAAGAACACCAAAGTCACAAAGAAAGTATTAGCCCAAGAGACAGAAAGGGCCACATAAACTGGAGACTGCATCAGCCTGAGACCAGAAGAACTAGATGGTGCCCGGCTACCACCAATGACCGCCCTGACAGGGAACACAACAGACAGTCCCTGATGAAGCAGGAGAAAGGTGGGGTGCAGAACTCAGATTCTAGTAAGAAGTCCAGACTTAATGGTCTGACTGAGACTGGAGGAACCCTGGAAAGCATGGCCCCTGGATTCTCTATCAGCTCAGAACTAAAACAATTTCCGAGGCCAACTCTTCAGGCAGGAATTGGACTGGACTGTGGGACGTAAAGTGATAACTCATGAGGAGTGTGCCTCTTAGCTCAAGTAGATACAAGAGACTAAATGGGCAGCTTCTGTCTGGAGGTGAGATGGGAAGGTAGAGAAGGTTAAGAGCTGGTTGAGTGGACATGGGGAATCGGGTGGAAAGGAGGAGTGTGCTGTCACAGTATGGGAAGAGCAATTAGGGTCACATAACAATATATGTATAATTTTTTGTATGGGAGACTAACTTGAAATGTAAACTTCATTTAAACTACAACAATATAAAAAAGACACAAGAATAATTTGATGTGCAGTGTTATTAAAATACAATTACAAACCAAAAAAAATTTAGCTGTAAGTTTATATATAATGTTTCCAACCCCCAAAGATAAAGATTGGATTTATAAAGATTGTAATAATAAAAGGCAATAATAACGAAAACTAAAAAAAAAGAGAGAGATATTCTATTTACATCAGACCAACTTGGAGTCGTCTGAATCGAACCCTGTGGTAAGTCAGGGACTAACTTATTTATTAATGTCTAAGGCGCTAAGCTGAGAGGAAGTGACACCTAGGCTGAGCTCTGAGGGCTGGAGGGAATTGGCCTGCAACAGGGAGGAGAGTGGTCCAGGCAGAAGGAATAATAGTTTATGTAAAGGCCCTGAGATTAGATAATAATGGCAGCTAACAATTAGCACTTACCATGTGCCAGGCACATTAGGAGTGCATGACTTGTACCAATTCTGTAATGCTCACACACTCATAAGGTAGATACTATTCAAACCTCCTCTTTTTAACTGATAGAAAACTCACTTCCCTAAGGTCATGCAAACAATGGAGTGGGGCCTGGGTCGGTGGCCATGCAGGTTAGCTGTTTAGTGCGGTTGCAGCCTGGAGAGCTGAGTTAAAGGGGCAAATGGTGAGGGCAGAGACTGGAGAGGCCAACAAGGAACAGACCACAAAGGGCCTGAAGGGAGGTCAGATGAGGGCTCAAGGCACCTAAATGATTATGGTGCCTCTCTCCCCGTGTGGATTCAAGGTTAAACCTCAAAGTAAGTGTAAGATGTCCAACAACATTCAAAATTTCCCATGATCACTTCTAAGTTTTAAAAAATATCAAATAGAAAAATATAAATCCAAATAATCGTTTGCTGATGTCTTAAGCACAAGTAATTTCCATACTGCTTATAAACCCCCTTAAGAATACTAAACTTTATTCTAAGGATAATTTGAATTAGCCATTGAAAGTGCTCAAGCAAGATCAGAGTTTGGATGCAGAGGGGAATGTAGATTGGAGGGTGAGAGACTAGAATGAGGGCTTGGCAGTTGGAGGCTGTAGCAGTAACAGCGAGAGGAGGTAAGAAGGCCAGAGGCCGTGGTGACAGGGTGGAAGGCAGAGGGCAAGAGTCAAGGGCGTGTCTCCATGTCAGGCTTGGTCAGGGTCTCTGAATGGTCTGCCCACTCCTGCCCTTCTCTGCACCAAGGATATCCTCCTGTATCCCCCTTTGAGCCTGCATCACATCATTGAGGGCCCAGAGCTCACCAGTGACTCTCAGGTTGCTTATTGTGCAATGCTGGGCTCCCAGGTAGACTACAAGCAGCCCAGCGCTGGGGCTGATTCTTACAATTACAAAAATCACTTATCTCAATTCAGGATGAGTGGCGATAACTGTGTTCTCTAAACAACAGGCCTCATACTCCCATAAACCTAAACAGTGGTTTTGGCTATTCCAAATGGTCTTGGCATCACAATTCAACTCAGCAACAACTGTGGGCTGCTGTGCCCTGAGCCAGAGATGAAGCAGATGAGGTTCCTGTCCTGAGCTGTCTAATGGGGTGACAGCTGGGTAAACAGTCATTTCGAAAAGCAGAACTAAAGCTGTGCTCTGACAGAGGGGCCAGCGAAGTGCCTGGAAGGGCAAAGGAGGAAGGAACCAGGACATGGAGGCAGACAATGGAATCCTGGAATGCCAGCACAGAAGGGAACTGAGGTGGGGAAGGTTTCTTGGAGAAAGTAATGTCAAAACAAGGGCTATCCCTAGCACCAGGCAACTCTGTGACCTTAGGCATGTTCCAACCAACCAACAAGTTGTTGTTGAGTCAATTCCAACTCATGGCAGCCCCATGTGTTTCAGAGTAGAACTGCTCTCCATAGACTTTTAATGGCTGTGACTTTTTGGAAGCAAATTGCCAGGCCTTTCCTCCGAGGCACTGGGTACATTCAAACCACCAACCTTTCTGCGAGTAGCAGTGCTTAACCGTTTGCACCACCCAGGAACTCCATACTTATCCTCTCTCTGGCTCAGTTTCTTATTTATAAAATAGGGCTCCCGTCTTAGGACTGTAATGGGTATTAAATGAGAATGTATATAGAGCACTTAGCACAATGCCTGGCATATAGTAAGCAATCAATAAATGTTAGTTGATGTTATTATTATTACACCATTCAAAGTACTAAGAAAAATACTTTTTCGTGATTGCAAATGTAACCTGTTTATTGTAGAAACTTTTGAAATATAGAAAAGTGAAAACAGAACAAAAATAATCCAAACATATGTCCAGAGAGAACCACTGGTAATACTTGGTGTATCTTTCTCCTACACGCACCTGTATAATTTTGATACAAAAAATAGGATCATATTTGCTTTATTTGCTTCATATTATATTGTACACTTTCACCATGCCATTAACTATCTTACTTTTTTTTTTACTGGCTGCATGGTATTTTTTATCATATAGCTACTATAATCTATTTAACTAAGTCCGTTGTATTGGATAGTATGTTTATATTTTTAATATTATGTACAATGCTATAATAAGTAATCTTTGTGACCATCCATGGTGATTTCTGTAGGATAAATTTCTACAGATGGAAAATTTGGGTCAAAGGCCATGCACGTTTTTTATGTTATTTATTTATTTATTTATTACTTTTTAAGGTTTTTGATACATACCATCTATTGTCTTCTTTGCCCATTTCTTTAACACTAACTTCCCGTGGGTTCTGTCCACAGTCCTGAAACCCTTGTGGTTTCAGCAATGAAATTCAGGGATTTGCACTTGTGCTGGTGTGCAAGGGCTAGTAAAGGCGTGAGCCTTGCTGGCCACCGGCCCCCACACAGCCCTGTGCCTCCGTTCTTTGTCCCCCATGAGATAGTGATCGCTTCTCATTTGAAACATTCATGAAGGTTGTGAGGCTAGTAAATTCTATAGGTACCTATTGAAACCCTAAGTATGGGCCTGGCTCTGGAATCCAAAGGCAAATTAAAACGACAATCTCTGCCTCGAAAAGTTTACAGCCTAGTGGTAGGAGCAAACATGTGAATAAATAAATGCCTGTAATACACGTCTGTTTTAGCTTGCTATAATGTGTGAGCTGGAGAGCCAGGGAGAGAAGAGGTCTGTCTACTCATGGAGGAGCAGAGAGCATCAGGAAAAGAGAGTATTGCTTCAGGCATGTTAGAGAGAAGTAGTATTGACCAGGCAGGCCAGAGGGATCTGGAATTATCAGTAAAGGAAACCACATGTTCAAATGAATAGAAATGTCCACAGGAGGACAGGCAGGGGAACCATGAGTAGTCTCATGTGACTAGAGCAAAGTGTATGAGGTTAGTGGTCAGACAAGACTGTAGAGACGGGTCAGCAGGGACCAGGTGATGGAGCCAGACCACTGAGTGCTGGGTACTTGATATACAGACCTACTGTATATAAAAAGAAGCAGCAATTTAAAAAAGAGCAGAAAGAACAGTTTTCCATAAAAAAGATACTATGGGAATGGAGATGAACCAGTTATCACTGGCACATTTAGTTTTCACATTTTTTGTGATCTGAGGACCTGTTTAATCCTATCACAGGATCCTATGTTACGACCGTGTCAGACCCCAGGCCACCATGGGTTAGGTGCACTCTAATGCCTCATTAAATGTCTGCCCAGAGACCTAAAGGGTGCCTTACTAGCCTTCCTGGCTGGGTGCATTCAGGATGCTGGGAAACTCCAGCTCATCGTGTTCCCAAGTGTGGTTAGATGTCATTAAGAAAACAAACAAACATAATGAGACAGACCTGTCTTCATGGTGAACCTCCAGCCAATGGGTCAGGTCACCTCCAGTTAATGGACTATTAATGCTCCAATTAAAAAGCAGAGATTGTCAGATGACTTAAAGAGAAAAAATAAAAAGCAAGCCCCAACTATATGTGTCTATAAGAGATGCACTGTAAATATAATGACACAGATAGGCTGAAAGTAAATGGATGGAAAACAGATGTATCATGCAAATAAAAGAGTAAGAAGGCTAGCGTGACTATATTAATATCAGGTAGCATAAACTTCAAGACAAAGAGTATTAGCAGAGCTAAAGAGGGACATTTCATAATAATAAAAGTGTCACTTCATCAGAATCCATCTCCTGCAACAGGAGGACATTGTGCCACCCAACGTGACAGGTATAGGCTACGCTAAATATTGGTTTGTCTGTTTTGAAAAATGGTTTAAATACTCCCATATTTATTTTGGAAGTCAGTGGAAATGGGTACCTTTAACGGTTTCCACCTGAAATTAAATTCATTTTATGTCCCAAATGAGAGATGAATGGATGAGGGGAGGGAGCTCTTGAAGTGAAGTTTATTGTTGTTATTAGTTGCCGTCGAGTTGGCTCCAACTCATGGAGACCTTATGTACAAAAGAATGAAATATTGCCCAGTCCTGTGCCATCTTCATGATCCTTGGTATGTTTGAGTACATTGCTGTGACTATTGTATCAATCCATCCCATTGAGTGTGTTACAGATTGACACGATAGCCACAATGCACTCAAACATTGAATTGTGTCCCCCAAAAATACGTGTTGTAAATCCTATCCCCTATACCTGTGGTGGAGCTCTGGTGGCACAGTGGTTAAGAGAAGGCTGCTAACCAAAAGGTCGGCAGTTGGAATCCACCAGCCATTCCTTGGAAACCCTATGGGGCAGTTCTACTCTGTCCTATAGGGTCGCTATGAGTAGGAATCAACCTGACAGCAATGGGTTTTTTTGGTTTTATACCTGTGGTTATAATCCCATTTGGGAAGGGGGTTTCTTTGTTATGTTAATAAGTCACTATTAGTGTAGGATGTGCCTTGAGTCAATCTCTTCTGAGATAAAAGAGGAGCAGATTAAGCAAGCAGAGATGGGGGAAGATAGATGCCATCCACATGAAGATCACCAGAAGCCAAGGAACAGAAGCTGAAAAGAGACAAGGACCTTCCACCAGAACCAACAGAGACAGAAGGCCTTCCCCTAGATCTGGCACCCTACTAAACTGTGAGAAAATAAATTTCTGTTTGTTAAAGCCAAACCCACTTGTAGTATTTCTCTTATAGAAGCACTGTGTAACTAAGACAGTTTCCCTGATTTTTGATGATCCTGTACTTTTCCAAACATGATGTCCTTTTCTAGCAATTGGTCTTTCCTGATGACATGTCCAAAGTAAGCAGGCTGAAGTCTCTCCGTCCTCACATTGCCAAATCTCCGAATGTAACTAATTTTGGTAAATGCTTTGTGACTGATGCAGAACCCCAGCAACAGCTGGTTTAAACACACAGGGCAAGGAGTGGCCTCTCTGACAAGCAGAGACACAGGCTGTGTCAGGCTTTCTCTCTCCTAGACAGTTAACATAGAGCAGAAGGCAAACTTACCTACGGGACCAAGCAGCCTTCCCTCCACTCAGCCCAAATCTTGCCCCTTACCTTATGGGCATCCATGAGGTTCATAACGAGGACAAGATCCCCATGCACAGGTTGGTCCTCAGCCAGCTGTGGCTCCACCTTGTACGACCAGTCAAACAGGGCCTGCAAAGCGTCCATGAATTGGCCCGAAAACAGCAGGGCCTCCTCCAACTTGTGCTGCCTGATAAAAGCACACAAACCCTACCATGTTTACAGATTTTTTATGAATGGTCCACAATTCTGACTGCTGAAAGGGAATATTGCTTGAACTCTATAGAGAGAGAGAGACCTCATGTTGGAACAGTTAGAAATATTGTAAAAAGTGACTAAGAGAAGTGCCCAGTATTTTTACTCAGACCGCTCTCTAGAATGGGGTAAGTGTAGTGCAGGGTACAGGTATAAAACCCATTGCCGTCGAGTTGATTCCGACTCATAGTGACCCTATAGAACAGAGTAGAATTGCCCCATAGGGTTTTCAAGGAGCACCTGGTGGATTCAAACTGCTTATCTTTTGGTTAGCAGTTGAACTCTTAACCACTATGCCACCAGGGTTTCTGGGACAGGTACAAACCGAAACACCAAACCCACTGCTGTTGAGTTGATTCTGACTCATAGTGACCCTATAGGTCAGAGTAGAACTGCCCCATAGAGTTTCCAAGGAACGCCTGGTGGATTCCAACTGTGACCTTCTGATTAGCAGCTGTAGCTCTTAACCGCTATGCCACCAGGATTTCTGGGACAGGTATAGATGCTGTAGAATGGTGGAGTAGTAATAGCATCAGAACCTGTCTAACTTTAGGGGAATAATGATCAGGATCTGTCCAAAGCTGATTCGTATGAGGTGGAGGTCAGACATACCTCCACTCTTCAACCTTTTTACCAATTCTGACACCAGCCGTCCCTCCCATGGCACTTTCTACTTCTCTTCTGGGTTCAATAATCTGTTGCAATGGCCACACAGAACTCACAGACCATACAGTTAAGTGGTTTATTAAGAAAGTAACAGGATACAACTTGGGATCAGGATCAGGGAGCATGAAGGCAAAGCCTCCCTTCTTCAGTGCAGGACATCTCTCTCAGCTCCTCTCAGCTGTGCAGGTCTCTCTCTCTCCCTCTCAGCCCCCTGAGGACAGGCTCCTCTTGACCCTGCCGTCTGTCACCACCAACTCTGCTTATAGGGCCACTTCTAGGCCTGTCGCTGCCGGCTCTTCCACTGGGCCCCTTCTGGGCCTCTTGCTGTCTTCAGTGTTACAGCCCTTGACCCAAGTTACAACTCTATTAGGAGGTTCCTTGCCTCCTCTCTCTCACTCTCTGCTTCTTCTTTCTTCTTTCTTGCCTTTTCTCCTTTCTGCTGCTTGTTTTCCTGCATCTTTCTGTCTGAAAAACCTCTGTGGGATTGGCTGCTTATATACAAAACTCCTTGTCAATTTGAAGTCGCGTCCCCTCCCAGTGGGGGAGGCATGAACTGACCGATCCCCTCTAGGTAGGCCACAAACACTTCATTTGCATAGTCTATTGACAAATTCCTGGTGCATACCATTCACAGGGCAGGCTATAGTCCAGGACTAGACAAAAAGTATCAAACTAAGTTGTTTACAGCTTACCCAGAAAATGTCAATCAACCTGGACAAAAGTAACAAACCCTCCGGGTTACAAAACTAGGGCAAAGGTAATTCCTCAAGGTTTAGGGGGAAAATTTCTCAAGCTGTTTTTCCAAAGAACCAAGGCAAAAGGCCACATAAAGGAACTCATTTTACCACAGATGCCCTTCTGACATCGTATAGTCCAATGACTATATGCATGGACACAGCCTAATGACCCAAGGTCTGCATTAACTACTTTATACCAGTCCTGCAGTAGAAGGCAATGGTTGAAGACAAGTGTGATCATTAAGGTTGTGTGTCAACTTGGCTGGGCCATGATTCTCAGTGGTTTGGCAGTTACGATGTAGTCTGGCAGTCATATGTTGATGTGATCACTTCCATGATGAGATTTGATATAATGTGATCACCTCCATTATGGGATCTGCTGTGAGTAGCCAATCAGTTGAAAGGGAGTTCCTTGGGATTGTGGCCTGCATTGAATATAAGTGGACATTGTGGCAAGGCTCGTGGGCTTTTGCTCACTCTAGATCCTGCAGCTGGCTCCTGTTTGTCTGACCTCTGGTTCTTGGGACTTGAGCTAGCAGTTTACCTGCTGTCTTGCCTGGGATTCATCGATTTTCGAAGCCTGTGAGCAAGAGCCCTGCTATCTGACCTGCCAATCCTGGGTTGGCCAGCCCCTATGGCTACTTGAATCAGGAGAACCTCTATCCTGACCCAAGGACTTGGGATGTTCCAGCCTCTATAATTGCATGAGCCATTTCCTTGATATAAATCTCTATATATATTTATATGCTTTACTGGTTTTGCCTCTGTAGTGAACATAGCCTAAGACAACAAGGCAAGGGGTAAGAGCCAGCATGGGTTCTGGAATCATATAGAAAGCTCATATCTAAGCTCCACACCAGCCATATGACACTTAACTTCTGTCAACTTTCTGACTCCTCATGTGTAAAATGGGATCGTAATTGTACCGATCTATAGAGCTGTGGCCACCACCATCTTTCAGTTTCTCATACTGTGGTGACTTGCATGTTGCTATGATGCTGAAAGCTATGCCACCAGTATTTCAAATACCAGCAGGGTCACCCACGGTGGACAGGTTTCAGTGGAGCTTCCAGGTTAAGACAGAATAGGGAAAAAGGCCTGGTGATCTACTTACGAAAATTAGCTAAAGAAAACCCTATGGATCTCGACAAAATATTGTCTGATATATTACTGGAAAATGAGCCCCCTAGGTTGGAAGGCACTGAAAATACACAGTGCCCGCAACAATGGACTAGAGCATACCAACGATTGTGAAGATACCGCAGGACCGAACGATGTTATGTTTTGTTTACGTGGGGTCTCCATGAATGAGAGCCAACTTGACAGCAACTAACAACAACAACATAGAGCTGTGGTAACAGCGTCACAGCCTCACCCACTACAGGTCCAGGCTGAGACCACACCCTGCACAGATACTCATCCCATGAATGAGTAAAAGAATTGTCCCAAAGGAAGAGACCATTCTGAGGCGGGTGTGGCCTGGAGTCCAACCAATCTCCAGCTCCACCACTCGCTTGATGTGGGACTCTGTGCAGCTCACTTCTTCTGTAAAACTGGCATTAAAGATACTTGCCTCACTTGGTTGCCGGGCAACATGGTATTAATAATAAGAATAGCGACAACAATTATATAGCTACCACTTTTTGAGAACTTTCCTCTGTGTTAAGTATTTCATGTTAATCCTCACAATAGTCCTATGAGGGAGCCTCTATCTTCATTTTACAAATAACTTATAATTGTTGTTGTTGTTAGGTGCCATCAAGTCTGCTCCAACTCATAGCAACCCTATGTACAACAGAAGGAAAGAATGCCCAGCCCTGCACCATCCTCACAGTCGTTGCTATGCTTGAGACCATTGTCGCAGCCACTGTGTCAATCTGTCTCGTCGAGGGTCCTCTTCTTTTTCACTGACTCTGTACCTTACCAAGCATGATGTCCTTCTCTAGGGACTGGTCTCTCCTGACAACATGTCCAAAGTATGTGAGATGAAGTCTCACCATCCTCGCTTCCAAGGAACACTCTGGTTGTAGTCCTTTCAAGACAGACTTGTTCCTTCTTCTGGCAGTCCACGGTATATTCGATATTCTTCTCCAACACCATAATTCAAAGACATCATTTCTTCTTCGGTCTTCCTTACTCATTGTCCTGCTTTCCCATGCATATGAGGCAATCGAAAATATCATGACTTGGGTCAGGTGCACCTTAGTCCTCAAAGTGACATCTTTGCTTCTCACCACTTTAAAGAGGTCTTTTGCAGCAGGTTTGCCCAATGAAATACGTTGTTTGGTTTCTTCACTGCTGCATCCATGGGCATTGATCGTGGATCCAAGTAAAATGAAATCCTTAAGAACTTCAATATTTTCTCCGTTTATCGTGGTGTTGTGAGGATTTTTGTTTTCTTTATGTTGAGGTGTAATTCATATTGAAGGCTGTACTCTTTGATCTTCATCAGTAAATGCTTCAAGTCCTCTTCATTTTTAGCAAGCAGGTTGTGTCATCTGCTTATTGCAGGTTATTAATGAGTCTTCCTCCAATTCTAATGCAGCCTTCTTCATATAGTCCAACTTCTTGGATTATTTGCTCAGCATACAGATTGACTAAGTATGGTGAAAGGATACAACCTTTCACCTCTTGGTCTATGCACAGGTCCCTCATGAGCACAATTAAGTGTTCTGGAATTCCCCATTCTTCTCAATGTTATCCAATATAATAACTTAGTAATAATGAGCCTTGCTCAGAAAATGGCAGCTGTATCCTTTCAGAAAGAAATAGCAGCTCAAGCATTTACAAACTGTGTGACTTCGGAAGTGGGGAATGAGAAGCTTCTGGAGCCTGTGAAGCCCACCAGCTGGATCCAGAGCCCCAGCCAAGGTTATGACCCCCTAGAAACTCCTCACTCCCTGGTGCTGAGGGTAACCTGAATCTAGGTCTGGGGTCAAAGCTGTTGGGAGCTTAGAGTCCTGGGCTCTGGCCCCAGTTCTGTCCTTGATCTGCTCTACCACCTAGGTTGGCCACTATCCCTGGATCTCAGTTTACCCATCAGTAAAGTAAGAAATAGAGGTTAGACCCCTCAATCACCAAGATCTCTTGCCACAAAGACAGGCTAAGAAAAATTCAGGAAAACATGGAGCCTATGTCTGAATTTGGAAACCTTGGTGGCGTACTGGTTAAGAGCTACGGCTGCTGACCAAAAGGTTGGCAGTTCAAAGCCACCAGGCTCTCCTTGGAAACTCTATGGGGCGGTTCTACTCTATCCTATGGGATCGCTATGAGTTGAAATCGACTCCACGGCAACAGGTTTGGTTTTTTTTAAGTTCTGAATTCCTGGCTTCTCTATCTCTCTCTCTCTCTCTCTCTCTCTCTCTCTCTCTCTCTCTCTCTCTCTGCCCCCTGGTGGACACCAGCAGCCTAGCACCCAGAGGGAGATGACGGCGGCTCCAGCTCTTGAGAGGCTCCCAATGACTTACTTTGTGACCTCTGCCCAGCTGC